TAGAACAAAGAATGGGGAGTGGGAAAGAATTGAATACCCATAACCAATACTTCTGTCTTCTGGGATTTAATCAAAGACGATCAAATGCACAATAATGTATGAGCTAGAATGATTATCTAGCTACAATTGAAAATCAACAAGCAATAGACTTCTAGTCAAATAAATGCAATGGAACAGAATATTATAAATGTAGAAAATATTAGCTTGGAAATACGTCATAGTATATTGGCAAGTAAAGGAGCTCTGGTAGTATATTGGTTACATACAAATCAGGCTGCTAACCCCAAAATCAGCAGTTCAAAACTACCAGGTGAGGCTTTCTGCTCCTGTAAAGATTTGTTGTTGCTGTTGTTGTCGTCAAGTGCCATGGAGTCGGTTGCGACCCATAGCGACCCTGTACAGGGTTTCCAAGGCTGTAAATCTTGACGGGAGCAGAAAGCCTCATCTTTCTCCCGCGGAACAACTGGTAGTTTCGAACTGCTGGCTTCGGAAACCCTATACAGGGTTGCTGTGAGTTTTAATCACTCCATTACACACAACCATCACTGGTAAGTGAAATACAAAGTAACTAAACAGACATTATTAGTCTTATATGCATTTTGTATTTTCCATATGCCTGTACAGAGGATAGGGGAAAAAAATTAAAGGATACATATTTAAATTCATACTGAAGTAACAAATGATTTTTTTTTCCTTTTCCTTTTCTGTATTTTCAAATGTTTCTACAATGAACAAAATTACTTATAAAATTTCTCTTTTAAGTTTTAAAAAGTATACCTCATACAGCTTTCAGATTTTAAAATGGCAAAAAAAAAAAAGGGGGGTTGGGGAAGGTGTCATTAAACTAATGTACAGGGATGAGATTCTCAATCCTTCTGTCTCTCATTAAACTGACCACCACAAGAACCCTCTGAAATCCAGAGCAGGTAACATGGGAAAACTATTCAGTAGTGAATGCAAGGGCATACAAAACAAGCTCAGGAAACCCAAGGTAACTATTCTGATTTTGTGTCCTGAGATGTACGTGGTTATAAAACATACTGGCTCAGATTACAGGCTAAGCATGACAAGGCTGTCTGGTACAAACCTAACAAAGGAATTCACACAGAATGAGAAATTTTCACATTCCATTTCCCTGGGTGTAAAGAAATACACCAGCAAAGAACTCTTAGTAGGGCTCAGCCCTTTCCCACATGCAAGCATTTCTCATGACATAATTTACCTATTAGTATACTCAACTAGGCTAAACTGAGATTCGTTTCAAGGAGCTTAGAGGTAGAAATGAGAAGGAGTATTTTACCAGGAGCAAACTTTTTGTACATTTCCAGGTGAGCTGGGAGAAGTCAGGTCTGCCTCTCTCAATCTCTTGGCCTCCTTTACTCCCTCCCTCCAGATCATTAAAGTTGATAACAATGGTTTTTCCTCGGGGGTGAGTGTAGATGACACATTTTCCCTGTAGCCTGTCTTCCTGTATAGGCAGGAATTCCTGCACCTTCTGGGTCCCCTTCCTGTTAACTTACATTGCAGATTTCCTCAAAAGGCATTCTACCACTTTAATATTTGAAAAATGTCAGCTCAACCCCAGACAGCTAATATAAACAAGCTGAAAGCCTACCACCTAAAGTTACAACTGGTGAAAGCACAATTTCTTTTTAAGAAATTCTTTCTCGGAATCTCACTGTTGGTAAGGCTGGAGCACAGTAACCCAGTCCTACCAGCTCCCAGGGAGTCTGTAATTCTTTTGCCTTGGCTGTACTTTAAATTAGAGGTCTGTAAAACTGAATCATAGTGATCTAGAAAGTTCGTAAAGGTCCTTGGATTGAACATGTTGTTAAATTCTTCAGTACTGTGAGGTGGGATCCACCTTTCACTTTTTCTGCTATCCTGTTGGATTATGGTATTACAAAGAATTTTGATACTGCAAAAAAAAAAAATATTAAAAAGGGCATTTTAGAATAATACCGCACTGAATTAGACCACTTCTAACATTTAAAGCTCAGGCCAAGATTCACCTAATTCTTTCTATCAATAATTTTCCTTTTGGACAAGATTCTCATGTTCAAACCAGACACACCTCGCAAACAGGGCCCAATTACGAAACTCATGCGGGTAAATGGGACTTGATGTGCAGAGCTGACACCATGGGCAAAGTGATCATGGAAGAGTCCCATGTTAATATCACCTTTAGTTTCCCAGCTCAAAAACTTGCTTTACAAGAAGGAAGCTGGTCACCTTATGAGACAGCCTAAAAATATGCAAAGAGGAACTGGATTTAATTTCAACTCTAAGGTCCAAAGGCCTTTGTTGTTGCTGTTGTTAAGTGCCATCGATTCGGTTCTGACTCGTAGCGACCCTGTATAGGGTTTCCAAGAAGTGGATGATGAGTCTGAACCACCAACTTTGCAGTCCAAACCCACCTTGAAGTCGGGCACTTATCACACAGCACCAGGTACATTAAAAAACAGCTTCTTCACAAACCTTTTGGACTATCCATCGCTGCTTTCTAAACACGAACCCTGACATTTCTCTTCAATGCCTGTCTAATTATCTTATATTATAGTAATTCATGTTCATGCTTTCTTTTCCTAAAGGAAAACACTACATTTAAAATATTGGTATCCCCAAATCCTGCACACAACATGTAATAATAGGTACACTAACCTGGAGAAGGATATCATGCTTGGAAAAGTGAAGGGTTAACAAAAAGAATCCCCAGCAAGATGGACTGACATAACCACAGCAACAATGAACTCAAAGGTAACAATTGTGAGGATGGAGCAGGTCCCGGCAGTAGTTTATTTTGTTGTGCACAGGGTTGCTATGAGTGGAAACTGACTCAATGGCCCCTAACAACAATATATACCCACACACATATGCACATATATATGTACATATACACACATACTTGCATATATCACAATACATAGTCACATGTTGTTGTTAAGTGCCGACCAGTCGGTTCCTACTCCTAGCCACTCTGTGTAGGGTTTCTGAAGAGCTGGTGAGCTTGAACCGCTGACCTTGCAGATCACACCGATTTTTCAGTCCAGTGCATTAACCCACTGCACTATACCAGGACTTCAATATATATTTATACCTATATTAAATGAAATTGAATGAATGAGTATATGTTTGTCGATACAAAGTAACTAACTACCACCTTTCTAATATATCAAAGCAAGGCTCTCTCCTAAATTGTTACTACTCTACTGGGGACACAGTAGGTTCCCCCCATATTAAGGAGCATCTCGACCTCGGAATGTCAACGCCTAGGTCCCTGAACACTTTCAACTTTTCAGACTTACAGTCTCCCCTAACACTTAGGAAAAGCAGAGCCTTCTTCCAACTCTTGACAATAACACTTCCCTCTTAAAAGTCAAATTAAAAAGAGGTACAAATAACGTAGCAAAAAGCTTATTAAAACCAAACCCATTGCTGGTGAGTGGACTCCAATTCACAGTGATCCTCTAGGAAAGGGTAGAACTGCCCTCTAGGGTTTCCAAGACTGAAATCTTCACAGCAGTACACTGCCACATCTTTTTCTCTCCAGGGAAAAGCTCGTGGGTTTGAACTGCTGGCCTTTCAGTTAGTAGCCGATGCTTAGCCAAGGGGGCCACTAGGGCTCCTTCCAAAAGATTGTTGTTGTTGTTATGTGCCGTGAAGTTGGTTCTGACTCATAGCGACCCTGAACAGGGTTCCCGAGGCTGTAAATCTTTACAGGAGCAGAAAGCCTCAGCTTACTCCCGCGGAGCAGCTGGTAGTTTCGAACTGCTGACCTTGCGGTTCGCAGCCTGATTCATAACCACTACCCTACCAGAGCTCCAAAAGATTACAGACACTTTAATATTACCAGGTCTTATTCACAGTGGGCCCCAGGTAATAATGACAATTGGGATGCCTAACTTACCTCTTCTTTATTCCAAGATATCTCCCATAGCATAAACTTTCTCTATAGATCTGTAGGATCTTACAGGCATTTTACGAAACCCCTTTCAGCTCTCTGATTTCATGTCAGAAAAAAAAAAAAAAATTAACCCCCTCCCCAGGATGTCATTAATTCTGCAAAATACAACCATGTAAAAAAAAAAAGAAAAAAAGAAAGAAAGAAAAGAAAAAGCATAAAACAGCCACAAGTCTAGACTTCTGACATATTATATTTGACTAAATATGTTCAATCACATACTTAAAAGATTCCATTTTGCTCATCAAAGGCATAGTGCAGCCCCCTACACACACACATGTTGCTGTAATGTTTAAAAGTACAGTTTTCCCCTCTAATTTTCCCCTCGAGATAGAAAGCCATCCGCCAAATGGGCAGAGAGAAACGTTCTCTCTGTCCCCACTGCTACTAAATCCTGTAAGCCAATAAGCAATTGGTGTAAAGTGCAAAATCTCAGAAGAGTAAGACTTCTTGTCAGCTTTTTGTGAAGAGCTGTTCTCTACACTTCACCTCTACTTCCTTTAAATATGAAAAGTTGCCTAATGTTCAAAGCGCTATCAATGGAAATTTCACTAAATACTGGCGCCGCAAAGGTTCATTCCCAAAGAAATATAACATTACATTAATTCCCTAGTAGTTGAACTCAAGTTTTACCTTTCATCTTCACCTACAGACTTTTAAGAAGTTTGTGTTCCTGTTGCACGCAAAATTACTTGTAATATGCGTGCATACTGAAGATTTTTTACCCATACATAAAGCTTTGCACATTTAGACGCTACGAACCTGCTCTATCCGTTCTGACAATGCAAAAGGCAAAAAGAGCTCAGTAATCCTAGGAGAAGAATGCAAATAACGTCAATGCACAGCTGAACTGCAAGCCCTGCCTTACAGGAACTCACTGTGTCTGCAAAAAAAGACACATACTAAACAGGAAATGCAACTGAGCTGTGGAAAACCTCAAACTTAAAAATGCAATCGCCAGGCTAAAATTGCATCCATGCATTTATAAATGCATGCACAACCCTTTGCATTTTTGCAAGTAATGCAAATAGGCTCTTACCTTTCGACTGAGACATTTTCCCCTTTCCTTTGATGGGGGAGGGGAGCACAAAAGACTTTGCCTTGCTTCTCTTCTGTAGCTAGTTTTGCAACAAAGATGCAAGCTGCAGGCGTGCACTCTTCATGCAAGTGGAGTTTCTCTTGACCGATGCAGCAGATGGACTTCCAGGGAATCAAGATGGAAATGCACACCTTGCAAAACAGACAGGAAAGTGATTTTTCCCCCAGTTGCAACGTTAGGCAAGGCTGTGCTGCAGCTACATGATGGGCCAGAGCTGGCAGCTAAAAGCTCCAAACTTGGAACTGAGTATCTTAGTGCGCAGACGTCTTTCCTGCGAAGGGCGCGGGGGTTGCTGGGTAATGTAGTTCTCGCGTAGAGTCCTCGGGGCGCTGATTTAAGGAAACGTGGTCTCCCGGGTCGCTGAGCAAGATGACTGAGTACAATCAGGATTGACCCCAGATAAACAAGGCAGGCAAGCGCTTGGCAGTAAGCAATGGGCCTAAAACGGCCTGGCCAAGGGGAGGGGGCATTTTGTTCTCGAAAAACCCTTGCAGCAACAGCTTCAAAAAGCTTTTCAGTGAGCCATCCAGAGCATTTGGCTGGCTGAGAAGGTCTGTATGGGCGTTCAGTGTGTTGGTTTTGCAGCTCCGCACCTGTTGTAGGGTTCTTTCCTTTAGACGTTTTGCCCTTACACCTCCATTTTATAACATCTTTCCTCGAATGGAGAATGTATTGGTGATTTGCCTGGTTAGAGATAAGGTTACTTTTAACACTGAAGAAAAGATGCAACGTTTTATGTAGTAAGAAACAGACCAGGTCAGATCTTTTCAAGAAACTTGAAATTCAGTGTTGCATCTGTGTTTGGGGAGGGCAGATTGGGGATGCCCATTTCTTGCAGGTTAAGTAGCAAGTTCTGCTTTTTCTATTCCAAAGCGAACTTTATCCAAGTTCAGATATTTAGATGCTTTTTCACACCTGGCTAGAGGAACAACCCTGGTCTAAGGGAGAAAACCTACTGTCTGTCCAGCCTATGGGATCCTCGTGTGGCGCTGTAAAATAAATAAGCACTGTGCTATGAACCACAAAGTCAGTGGTTCAAGTCCACCAGCTGCTCCTTGAAAACCCTACACAGGGTTTCTGTGAGTTGGAAGTGACTCTACGTCACTTAACGACAACAGTAATCCAGCCGGTGGAGTGCCGGTGTGGTGCTGTTAAAAACAAAGTGGGCAGTTCAAATCCACCAGCCACTCCTCGGAAAACCTAGGCAGGGTCACTATGAGTCAGAACTGACTTGGTGGCATTTACCAATAAAAACAGTGGGTTCCAACTAAGAGCAACCCTATGTAGGTTTTCTAAGGAGCGGCTGGTGGGTTTGAACTGCCGACCTTGCAGTTAGCAGTCTAGGGCTGATCCTACAGCGCTGCACCAGGACACCATGGTGGCAAGAATGGAGACAGCCTATTCAGGAGTCCCTAGGTGGTTCAGACCACTTAGAGTACTGGGCTGGTGACCCAGAGGCTGGAGGTTCAAGTCCACACAAAGTCCCTTGGAAGAAAGACCTGACCTCTATTTCTGGACATCTGGGTGGCACTGTAGGATCAACACTGAACTGCAAACCACAAGTTCTGCAGTTCAAACCCACTAGCTGCTCCTCGAAAACCCAATACAGGAACAGATCACAAAATAACAACTCTGACATGCATAAAGAGCCCTGGTTGCACTGTGGGTTAAGCATTGGACTGCTAATTGCAAGGTCAGTGGTTCAACCTACAAGCTTCTCCTGAAGAGAAAGATGAGGCTATGGGTTCCCATAAAGATTTATAGTCTCAGAAACCCCATACAGGGCAGCTGTAAACTTGATGGAAGTGGGTTTCCTTTGGACACATATGAGACCACCATAAACTGGAATCTACTTGCTAATTTTTTTTAAATTCAGGAGAGACTACAAGATACCACCCATGGTGCCTTGCATGCAGGGGTGTGGTGAGGTATGGGTGGAATTCACGGGTGGAGATTCTACTGGGCTTTAAAAGGCTAGAGGCTTGGACTTTATTCTCCAGGTGTTTGGGAGACAGCAAAGGGCTTTGAGAAGAGGTGTGGCCTATTCCAAGCATTGTTTAAGGCGATAAATCTGCTCTCTGTGGTCAACATAAACTGGAACTAAGAGGAGCCAGAGACAGGTCAGAAGTGAAAGGATTTTCAGAGACCCATTAAAATCAGAGCTGGATTTGATAACTGGTATGTGACACTGTAAGGATCTCTGGTAGCGTAGTGGTTACAAATCAGGCTGCTAATCTTACCATCAGCAGTTCAAAACTACCAGCTGTTCCACGGGAGAAAAATGAGGCGTTCTGCTCCAATAAAGATTTACAGCCTCAGAAACCCTGTACAGGGTTGATATGAGTCAGAACTGACTCCACGGCGCATAACAACAACAACAACATGTGGCACTGTGGGATAAAGCACTGGACCATAAGGTCGGTTTGAACCAAAAGGTCAGCGGTTCAAGCTCACCAGTTGCTCCTTGGAAACTCTATACAGAGTTGCTATGAGTCAGAACCAACTCCACAGCACTTAATAATAATCACAACAGTAAATGACTAAAATCTTGGTCTGGTGCTGTAGAGTAAGCACTGGACTGCTAACCACAAGGTTGATGGTTCAAACCCACCAGATGCTCCCTGGAGACCCTGTACGGAGTTGCTCTAAGTCAGAACTGACTCAACAGCACTTAACAACAATAGATGACTAGAGTCCTGGTCTGGTGCTGTAGAGTAAGCACTGGACTGCTAACCACAAGGTTGTTGGTTCAAACCCACCAGAGGCTCCCTGGAGACCTTTTACAGGGTTGCTATGAGTCGGAACTGACTTGACAGCCCTTAACAACAATAGCAATGAACAATTTGAAAATTATTTTTGAAAGATTTGGAAATTTTATCAATGGAAGCCAGGATCTTTTCCGTAATGGATGCATCCAAGGGAAGCAGGCCACCATGTTTTAGCTTTGAGTCAGTGAATCAACTCTTAAATATGCAATGCACCATGGGAGTGGGCATTCATCTACTTAAGCAGATCCTGTTTACTGACATTGTACTGCAGATCAGCCAAGGCAACCTCATGTTACACTAAGGAGCCCTGGTGGCACTGTGGATTAGGTGTTGGCTACAAGGTGGCAGTTCAAATCCACCAGCTGCTTCATAGGCAAAAGTTGAGGCTGTCTGGTCCTGTAAAGATAACCGTCTCAAAAATCCTGTGTAGGGTTGCTATGAGTCAGAATCAAGTTTGTGGGGGAGTCCTAAGAGTAAAATGATCCTGTTCCGGGAGTAGAGATGCAGGAATTTAGCAAATCCCCTTCTTTCACTGCCCTACTGGGACAATTCATGTTGTTTCTTCTTCCAAAGATAGTTGTTTTTGTAAAGTGCCATCAAGTCTGTTGTGAGCCCGTACAGGGTTTCCAAGGACTGGCTGGTGAATTAGAGCCATTGAAAACCCTGTGGAGCACAGTTCTACTCTGAAATACAAATGGCAGCCAAGAGTCTGAATGGAAGACAATGGGACTCAAGGGCTAGTGGTTCCTTGGTTCTTCATTAACATTTTATTGTGAATTAGGTGAAGGGTTAAGGAGCTAAGCTACTTCTGTTCTTGTTCCCTCTATCACAGAGAATCTCACTGAAACTGCACTTTGTTAAAGTTTTATTGACCAGGAAGTATGCACTTGGAGACCCTTTTTCAAATGCTGATGGGAGCTACTGCTATGTGCCAGACCCCGCCCCGGGGTAGCTACTGGAACTGCCTGTAGCCTTGCTGAGTCCAGGAAGGGTCTGAACAACTGCCTAGAGCCACTTCAGTTTGCATTTTATTATGACCATCTGCTTGCTCCTAAATTGCCCCCCAGATTCCCTTCTCTAGGGCAGAGTCTAAGCACGCCTTGTCTGGTGAGTTTTGCTCCCGTCTGCTCTATGTCAGCATGTGCAGTTCACAACTGACTCATGGTCTGTGTTTGGAAAGCTGAGTCATCACCCATTTCCACAGGTCATATGGCCAACAGGTATTGCTCAAGTACAACTTGTTTCCATGAGTCAGCTGAACCTTATTTTTCAAAAATGGTAACATTTATCCTTGCTCCTTCAGGGGACAAATATACTGTGGATTCCCAATGAGCAATTGGGGCAACCGGAAACACGACATGGTTGTGATGTCTTAGATTCCAGAAAGAACTTTCTTCCTGTTTTGGTGGGAGCAGATTTCTTCCGCTTCACATTCCTGGGTGAAGGAAGAGCTGTGCCTTGGAAGAAAAGGAAGCATCTCCTTTTCTTGCCAGGCTTCCTGGGAGGGGTGCTAAGAGGAGAATCCCTCACCCAGAAATGTAAGACAAGAAGACCAGCTTTGGATACAACTGTTAGTTGGTAGTTCAAACCCACCAACTGCTCCTGGAGAGAAAGGTGAACCCGTGTGCTCCGTAAAGATTTGCAGCCTCAGAAACCGTACACAGGGGAACTGACTCATTGGCAGTATGTTTGGGGTTCCTTAATGTGGAGTCCCGGGTGGCACTTGGGGCTAATGCGCTGGACTACAAAGTCTTTTGAGCCGCATGGTCAGTGGTTCAAGCTCACCAGTTGCTCCTTGGAAACCCTATACAGGGTCGCTGTGGGTCGGAACCAACTCGATGACACTTAACAACAATAACAACAATGTGCCAGAAGAACCAACCAGTCTGTCTTGGAAGAAGTACAACCAAAGTGGTCCTTGGAAGCGAAAGATTTGGGAGATTTTGTTGTCGCTTGTACTTTGAACATATGGTCAGGAAGGATCCGTTCCTGGAGGACATCATGCTTGGTAAAGTGGAAGGTCATCAAAAAAGAGGAAGTCCTTCAATGGTATGGACTGCCACAGAGCCAGCCACAATGGGTTCAGATATAACAAATGTCCAGAGGACACAGGACAGTTTCGTTCTGTTGTGTAGAGGGTCGCTGTGAGTCAGAGCCAACTTGGCTGCCCCTAACAATAACCAGTGAGGTACATCAGGTGTCTCTCCTGTAGTGAACTATGCTTTCACTTTACATGCCCCGTCTTAGTAACTTTCTACACTCCAACTCCTTCAATTTGCATGCATTCTACTGTCAGCTTCTCATTACCTTCAGGATCTGTGCCAGACTCCTTGGCCATGTGTAATGGGCTCCAGAGATGGTGCCTTCTGACTCTTTTTTTATTATTTTTTCTTCAGTTTGAGGGCTAAGGTACGCCTTACCCAAGCCATGATATTTTCATTTATTTAAAGTTTTAATTGTGAATTGAGTGAAAGTTACAGTTAATCAC